CCTGTACTGAAGCCAGACATTGGCAACAAGTCATGCAGACTAAAGCTACGTTTGTACTATTTGGCTGCATTTGACAATAACATGGTCAATATGGAATGATGAGTCGATGTTTAGAGGCACCTACGTTGTATGTAGCATTGTCAGATGTACTAGTAGTTTCAGTGATATTTCTTTAAAAGAATCTATCCAGTTGTGTTCTCAGCTGTTTTGTGTCACTTTTGGTAGTTTAACGTATGTATATACATGCACCACCCCACCCCCTTCTCTAAAAAGTCAAATTATGAGGGTTGGGAATTCTCAGTGCCTCTTTGGAAAACTCACACAAGCTTCACATTGCAACAGTTTGAAAACCCACATAAGCTTCAACATTGCAACAGTTGGAAAACCCACACAAGCTTCAACATCGCAACAGTTGGAAAACCCACACAAACTTCAACATCGCAACAGTTTGAGAGTAGTCACTGATACATGTAGTTTTCCCAAATGACCCCCAGTGCCAGATCAGTTCTTCCATTTTAAATATTGTTATTGGATATACAGAATTTTAAAGTAAATAAAAAGGTTTATCTTTTTATGTGTACATTGAATACTGTTCTGGAATTTTGATAACTTAAAGTAGTGTACAAACTTATAAATCATTGTTTATTTTTACAATTGCGGGTTGTACTTGCAAAGTAATTTTTGATACAGTTGTACAGACTTATTCAAGAGCATGCACATGTGCAGTTTTACAGTGCAACATGTCAGATAGCTTGAATGGTTTAGTTCAAGGTCTTCACAAACTCAAACTGGTGCAAAGCTTAACCACCTGACCACCAAGCTTGCCGTTGTTGGCTGGCTGGTTCGAGTCGGGTGTAGCAGCGGGTACCATGAACAACTTTTTCCAAAGATGGATTTGTGCCAGGGAGAGGTTAATTAATTTTGGATTTTGAAGAAATATGAAATGTAAGTAGCAACTATTTCCTATGTGTAGCAGCATATGTCTCCCATTGTCAAATTATTGCTGATAGTCCCTGACATAAATATCAAGAAAAATACTTGTCAAAACATCAAACATCACCCACACAGTATTTTATTATTCTGTTTTGTACACTTTTAAAGAATGACTAATAAAGCAAAATGTAATCATTCCCTCCTTTCAGGAGATGATGCTTTATCCAAATGCTGTAGAAGTGCAGCAAATACAAATTCATAAATACCTGCATGTAAGACAGTTTAGCCAGTTCTCTTTGTCAGGAGCCCCTCACATTAAACAAAGTAAGAATTGTTGCACAAATCATTTGAAATTTGTAATTTTATCCTTGATTTTATTTTGTTACTCAAAAAGGTATTTATGAATGGGAATAAACTTAGCTTGGCTGGTCTTAAGCAACCGTTTCAGAATGGCAAAGCACAAATTTATTTGCTGAATAATGTATCTGCTACGATACAATTGTACATTGTATTTTGCATGTATGGTGGCATTTTGAGTTCAGATAGTCGAAGTAGTCAAGTCTTTATACATGTGCACGTGGGTATTAACAGTGCATATTACAGTTGTCCAATCCTTGTGAATTTTAATGACATCTGTTTCCATCATTTTAATAGAGAATAATTGCAATGTAGCTCATACTGAGGAATAGCTAACATTGTATTTTGTAACTAAATTGTGCTGTAGTCATGAAATGAGAGAACTAACAAATATTTATAAGAATCAGTGGCAATAAATATACAGTTGTCCTTGTGAGTTTTATTTACATTTCCAGATTAGAATTTTCAACTTGTATTTTCAACCCACCTCTATTCTGTTCACTGTTTCAAAATAGAATTTTAGATTACACTCTGCCATGATTCGTTAGAAAAACTAATTGTTAATTGTATTTTATCATTAACTTATGACACTGTGACATTAATTTGATTTCGTTTAATTTGGCTTGTGAATATAGGACTATAATTTTGTAATGAAACCACCGCTCAATGTTTGGGTGGACCCTTTCATTACAAAATTTGATAGAACTTTATTTGAAAGGTTTGGAATAAAGGTTTTGTCATTATGCTGCCTCTCACTGTCTCATTATATGGGGCCATCTCAAAATTTCAGATGCTCAAATTGACATTGGTGTCATGTTCCAACTTGTCATTGAAGTTTATTTGTGTTTGGCTTAGGGAAACGTACTCTTGAAGTACATCAGTGCAATGATCGACTGGTCTATCATTGCACTCTGCACACATCTACTTCTACCCTTCTCTGTTGGTTATTAGGCTGTTGGTTATTAGGCTGTAGCTTGACAATCCTGTCAGTAGTCTAACCCTGGAATGAAGCAAAGTCACATTCTACAAGTGACTCAAGGCAAAGAAGATGGAAAAATGGAAGTGTTTTCTGGGTGATCAAACTCGAATTTTTCACTTCCTATTTTTGTCTACTT